AGGCATCACAATATATATATATATATATATCTATTAAAGAAATGACCGAAAGTTATTAGACGAGCCCCAACCATCCCTAGATGTGCTAAATATTCGAGTATCACACCCTACACAAGAGATGATTTGAACTCTTGACTTGAGAAGACTTACGACCTTCAAAAAAGCTGCTCTAACAACTACTAAAATATTAAAGATCCGTTTGAGGCAGCTTGTGCGTTTCAGGATAAGCTGCTTATCCTGAAACGCGGCCCGCGGGCCTGCCGCAAAGGTCGACTCGCGGTCTGCGTTTAGTGTAAAAACCCAAACGCAGTTTCGGATAAGCTGGCGAAACGCGTGAACCAAACGGTACGACGACGTTTTGAAAACGTCGCCCGCACTTATAAGCTATCCCAAACGGACCCTTAGTAAGATTTCTTTCGAAATTATCTGCTATAAATGCAACTTTCAAACTTCATTCATAACTTCAATAAAACTCTTTGAAAAACTAAATTGAAATCATTCTAAGTTTAATGTCATTCTAATAATCACCACTGGTTTCATGCCCAAAAAATATAAGATTTAAAATAGCAATTTTTAAGAAAGAAAGACATAAATAATATTGCACAATAGCACAACCAAGTAAATCAGAGAAATTTTACAGATACAACACACAACTCTTATGCATTTACATACTTCACACCTATACTTTCATTTCTACATAGCATTTAGATGTTTTAACTTATGCATGAAACAATGTATTTCGCTTTTAAAAACTGATAATAGTGCTACTTTCAATTTGATATTAAACATTTAGGCGTTATGTATAAATATGAAAGTTTAGGTGTCTAGATACGTAAATAGATAATAGTTATGTGCTATTTCCAAATAAAATACTAATATTACTGCATATTTTTCTATATTGAACTCCACAAATTGTCAACACCAGCGGCCCATACTGAAGCTTTGTCATGTTATGCAGTACAACATAGTGGAAAGAGACGTAGCCAGCAGCCAAAACCACATATCCATATCCTTATACTCCATGAAATTGTCTATGCCAACAATGGTTATTAGCCACATGCGACGCAGAAGAGAAAGAACATGTCACATCAAGACACCAACTAATTGCATGATTGAGCCTGCAATAATTTATTGGTTAATATGCCTTCTAAATTTGTTATATGAATTTCGAATAAGATGAATGTTAGATTAGGTTTAGTCAGCTATGCAATTGGGGATTTAAGAAGCCATAGTTGTACATGCACTATTGATAGACATAGGAATGCTTGTTTCCACAAGCATTATGGTTTGCCTCAAATTATTGACAACATCTCACATTCTAATAATTATAGTGGGACACTCCATGTTATCAAATGAGCTATCTGGCTATTACATGAGCCAGGGATGGGAAAGCTTTAGCTATTGGAGATTGGGGTGATTGTGTTGTTCTTTCAGAGCTATGAGAGGATGATCTCTCTACATTTTTATTATATTTTTCCATATCTATATAAGTATTGGTGAGCTCTAGCAACTTGACTAATTTTTTTAGTCGTTGTAGATAGAGGCAGAATGATCATTTACAAATTTCTTGTGTTTGGATAGATTGAGCTATAGCAAGTTCTCTGTCTTTAACTTTGAGCATTTCTCTTTGAAATTCAGTTACAAAAATTTTGAGTGACTCGCTAGTTTCTTGGAGCATTTTTAATAAAGCTTGCTTATTCTTTTGGAGATGATGGGCTCCGGCAAATTATTTTATGAACAAATTATTGAATTCAACATATGAGATGACAATACAAAGTGTCAGGCGAGAAAACCTCCTAAGAGCCAACTTCTCGAAGGATGAAGATATTGATTACATCTATATAACGAAATAATTTTCTTAATATTTAAATATCTTTTTTTCAAGAAATCCAAGTTAATCATGTTCGCGCTAAGTACACCAAGAAAATAAAATCACGAGGATTGTTTGGCCAAAAGAAATAATATCTCAAATAAGAGTTCATGATACAAATAATGGGCCCAAATTAACTATATAAATCAGTCAAAAGTGTGCTACTAAATTAGCTGTGACCAACTTAGCTCATTCAACAAACTATTTCTTTTTAAGGAATTCACAGCTTGCAAACCACTAATACCAATGACTAAGGTAACATCATAAGAGATGAGAAATCATCACAAGATAACCAGACCAAGGGGAGCTATCAACTTCCCAGCTAAAAAAACAAATCATCATAAATTAATTCGACCATAAAAAAAATAAAGCCCACATAAACTTAAATGTGCTTTAGAGCAAGTTCTCTGCATCTCTTCTATACTCTTACTTCCTCCCCCCTCCTTCCTCCGACATGGACACCAAATCTCTATTGTCCTCTGCTAAAGCTATATCTTCCTTTGCTCTTATGCTCCTTTCCTTCCTTAATTACACAGAAGCAGAAACCTTCGACAGCCACAACAACCATATGTACCATAATTCTTCTGATAAATCAACAGAGACCAACATAAGCTGCAACTTTTTTTATGGAAGTTGGGTGTTTGATTCTTCATATCCTCTATATGATTTCTCTACTTGTCCCTTCATTGATGATGAGTTCAACTGTCAGAAGTATGGCAGACCTGACAAGCTCTACCTCAAGTACAGATGGAAGCCAGAGGGATGTGAGCTCCCAAGGTCTGAATTTTATGTTTTCTGTTGCCTCCTGCAAAGCAATTACTAACTATCTGCTGTGCTCTGATATGGATTTTAAAAATTGTGGTTTTAGATTTGATGGCAAGGATTTCTTATGGAGATGGAGGGGGAAGAAGATCATGTTTGTTGGTGATTCGCTTAGCTTGAATCAGTGGGAGTCTTTACTCTGCATGATTCATTCAGCTGTTCCTAATACAAGGACTTCTTTGTCTAGAGCTGCTTCCCTGTCTTCAGTTAGGTTTGAGGTAATACTTTCTCTTTTTTTCTTCTAAGTTCTTCTATTGATTATCTGCATTGTGCTTTGCTTGGTGTTCCACTGTTTGTATGATTGCTTGCTAGAGCTGCAACATTGACTGGAAGATTTACAAACATAGTGCTCAATTCTGATATATTTACATATATAACACCAAAAACTTCAATTTTTACATATATGATTTGTGCTTCCTATTTAAATAATAATAACAATAAGATTTTAGAAAATGCATTAACTGGAAGCATTGGGGTTTAGGATAGGTGTAGCATGTAGAGAAACCTGGAGCAGGGAGACCAAGAAAGTGTTGGAATTGATTGACCTTGCAACCATAAAGCATGTTCATTTAAAGTGCCGGTAGACATGCATGTTCATTTAATTGGCCGGTGTAAAGGCTTGTGGCAAGATTGTTATTTTTTAAATATATTGTCTAATTATGATATATTAAATAAGGTTGTTAGTTATGAAATTGATTATTATATGCAAAATTTTCAAAACAACAGCTATAGAATACAAATTAGAAGAGTCGTTGCGGACAGAGGAAAAGACAAAGCAGCTGATGAGCTGAAGATGGTGAGATGATGGAAGCGTGGAGAAATTATTTATGAGAAAATCAATGGTTTCAGTGGGGCTTGAAATCAAGGGAATTGTCTTGAGGGGACTAACATGAATCTCGAGGTGATTAGCATGAATTTTGAAGTATTTTTAGTAAGAAATATTCACTCAAGCTGAAAATCATCTGGAAATTAGATTTCAAATCTAACAAGATTATAGTCAAATCGAGTGTCAAGACAATATGAGTCTAAGGAACCCAAGATCATTTAATTTTGACATCGTTAAGATACTTAAATATTCACAAAATGACATCTTATTGAGAGCATCTATTTGGATCGTTCAATGGAGTAGTCCAGAATCCTTCATCATTTGCAGAGGAATTACTCCCAGACTCTATAAATAGAGCCTTACTTTCTTCATGAAAAGAGGAGCTAGAACTTGAACCGAAAGAAGAGCCGAACCCGGAGTTGGTTTGAGAAGGAGATTAATTCCAATGTTGTTATGAACTGAAGACTGGATGAATGCTTCCTGCTCTCGCCGCCACCTACCACCATCAAACACCACTAGCCGCCACTGTCGACAATCTTCAGAACTGGTCATTGCAACAAAATCCCTTGCAGAGTCACGACGTTTGTTGCAAATTAATGAAGCATTTATTAGGGTAAAGGCCAACGTAGCGGAGTATTAAAGCACCATGCAGAGCGAAGGACAACATCACGAAGTAATGAGATGCCCTACAGAGCAGCCCATCATCTTGAACACCATACAACAACACATCTCAAAGACAATGTAACAATGTACCCTAAAGATGGTGTAATGATGCACCCTAAATATGGTGTAACGACAAACTTTGAAAATGTTATAACAATTCACCTCGAGTTACAACAGACATGCCTAGAATACGGTTGCCTTCTCCAAACTCCTGAAGCACTTTCCTCACAGCTCTTCACTACAACCTACATGTCTAACTACATCCTACATGGTCCACAACTCATGCAACTCCCAATTTCGGTCTTTGTGGCCAATATAAGCTGCTACAACTCTCCACTACGATCTAAGTGACCAACTATGACCTACATGCCTAACAACTCACACGGCTTAGAACTCCTGCCCTTAAGGCCTATGAATGTTATTGCAGCTCCCTCCCAACTTTGGTCTCTGTGATCTACGAATATTATCTCAACTCACCACTACGACCTATGTGACCAACTACACCCTACGTGACTCACAGTTTCTACATCTCCCTACTACAGCCATAAGGAGCAATTGATGATTCTAAAGCAACCGCCTACGACCTACATTACCAAGTACTACCACGACTCACAAATACGGCTTCTACCATAAGTTGGACTAAATAAAAAATAAAAAATCATGAGATATTGGGCTATCAAAAAAGTTCGAAAATTTTTAAATAATCTCATATAATGATGCTAATCTTTCTTCTCTAGAAACTCTATTCTCCAAAGATCTACTCACGCGACTCGAACGAGCAAAAGGAGAGAGATGTCTACATGCGTTCAACAACAGTGAGCCACCGGATTTAGGTGAGACATTGATGAGAAAGATTATTAAGGGAAAGATCAAAATTAGCTTGGGTTGAATCAACAAAGGCATCACAATACCATGAGAGTTCACATGTAGTTGCTAAATCTGTATTGGTTATTGATAGATGGTTTTCTTGATAAATCTTGTAGAAATGACATTGAATGCACAATAGGTTATGAGGCCCAAGATGTTGATAGAACATGAGGACTAGTTAGATATTGGAGAAAAAATTGATACAATAAAAACACCCATGATGGGAACCTAGAGTAATTTAAGCTTGCTCAAGCAAGAAAAATAAAAGAGGTGAAACAAATCCATGCATATTATATCTTATTCTACCCATGTAATGGCTATTTCTAGACTTACACTTCCTTGAGCTAATTACTCCTCATTATTAATGTACTATTAGACACTAAAGTAATGACAAATGAAGCATTTCATGGTGTTGAATTCGTGCGCTCACCCTGCCTTTAAAATATAACAAGTGGATTCGCAAAGTTAATCTCGGATAAAGCTAGATTAATGAAAATAACTCATTACTTATATGAAAGATATTTTAACATAAGAGATGAATTTTTTTTAAGAGTGTGCTAGAAAATTCTCAATGATAGAGAAATATTATGCATTAGTTTAATATAAATTAGCTCAAACTTAGCCCAAGAAGTAAGAGAACTAGATTTTTTTTAAGTGGAAAACCTTAAAAAGAGTAAAAATCATACGACCTGACCCAAGCAAAATACTCCACAAAGAAATTGAAAGTATAGAAATCCAATCTTCCAACTTAGAAAAGTGACATTATAAAAACTAAAAATCCCAGCTTCATACTAATAATTTAGTTACAACATTCGTAATTAGGCTACAATAGTTATAATTGTGGTTAAAATAATAGCTACGGACTACAAAAGAAATACTTGGTGGCAATAATATCGTAGTTGACAAAAAAAATTATAGAAGGTGACTATAATAGTCATAATAAGGTTCAAATGTTGTAGTTGGTGACTAAAACAACCATAGTTGGCTTCAATAAATGCAATTGATGGTTGACAATCGATGATGGTCATTCACATGCACATCTCTTCAAGAGTAATATTTTAATTGTTAGCTCACTCTTCTATTCTCTTCTGATGTTAGTTAAATAATAGGGGCATATATATAATTTTTATATGGACAGTTAAGTAAGTTTAGCTAAAATCTCAAATCATTTCATCAGACAGTTCATATTGATTCCCATATTTATACATCATTTTGTTAACACTATAGTATCTTGATGACCTCAAAGTTAGACGATATAGGGCTCGTTGAATTCCTCTCATCGAACTGCTCAATTTGACTATAAGTAAACAAAATTTAAAAATTATTTAACCTTTCAATTGTTCCACCAAAAATTTTGACATGACTTCAAGTGCTTGATATGGGTAATTTATTTGAACTTATATTAGATCACTTTCAGTTTCATTCGATTTGATATGTCGAGACTCTTAATTTGACTATAAAACTGTTGAAATCAGGGCCCAAATATTTGTAATATATTTTTGTTCAAAATACATAGAGATTTACATATAATGATAAAAATTTTTAAGGATACAACAGTTACCCACTATTTTTAAACATTGTACATGTGTCATCCAAAAATATAAGTTATTGGAAAAGTATCAAAAATAATTTTAGACATTCCAAAAGTTTTGATGTTGATTTATACTTGTGTCATAAAAAAATATAAGTTATTGGGAAAGTCTCCATAATAATTTTAGATAATCCAAAAACTTTATATGCTGGTTAGAATGAGAATCTCTTATATTTCAAATTATCCAAATTTACTCATAAATGCTTCATGAAGTTTTGAAAATGCTAAAATTGAATCCAAAATATGTGAAATGGATACTTCTTGAAAAAAAAATGTGTATGTTCTCGTTGGTTGGGCTCTCGAGTGTGTTTTGGTGCACATGCACACACACATATTGGTGTGTGCAGTGCGTACTCAAGGTATAGCTGGTGCAATTGAGTTAGCATGGTAAGAGGTGTGTGATAATTGCCAATGGCACACATGCATGGGAGCATTCGAGCATGCCTAACTAAGCAGGTGCATGCACGGGCACTTGTGTGCTTGAAGTGGGACATGCACGTGTGTGCACATGCGTGTGGGGTGCATGGACAGAAGCAGTTGAACCGAAACATACGCTGTATCTCAAAGGAATAAATGTGGACCGTCTAATGAAGTGTTTTAAGATTTGGCTAAATTTGTTAAAATGCTAGTATAAGAAATTATAATATGCCCCTACTTTTCACATGAAGGGAAAGAAAAAGTGAAGAATGAATTAACAGCTAAACATTACTCTTGAAGAGAGGTGCATGTGTTATCCTCTATCAGTAATTGTTGTAGCCAACCACAATTATTGTAGGCACCGACTACAGCTTCTACTATGAACATCAAATATTGCAGGTACCAACTACAGCTTTTGTAGCTAACTACAACCATTAGAGCCGCCAACTACAACTTCTGCACTCACTTACTGCTACTGTAACTACCGACAAGTTATGTAACCCGATTTTAGATGTTATAGCCAAATTACTATAATTAAGTTATGAATGTCAATTTTTTTAATATCAACTTTCCCAATTTAGGAGAAGAGTCAAGAGTGGGCATCTATACTTCCCATTCTTCGTGTATTAAATTGACTGTGTTTTTTTTTTTTCTTTTTAATTGTTTTGTCATATAAAAATTTTGGTTCTCTTACAACTCTATCTATGACGTGTTTTACAAAATTATATCAAGCTTAAGCATAAAATTTATCCGTCATTAAAAATTTTCACGCACGCAACAATTTCTACGGCGAGATACCTCCTGACATGTTGCACGAAAAAATATAAATTATGATAACTCAGATTGACATGACATGGATTAGACCAAAAACGAACTTTCATTCGATTTCATCTATTTTTCAAATTCGCACTTAAATATCAAAATTCACGATAAAATCCCAACTCATATTTTAAAAAAAAAAAAAAAAAAAAAAAATCATATTAATTTGTAAATATTAATATTTGGAAGCATCTATATGTAATTATCCCTCATAATTATATTTGATACTCTCAAACTTAAAAAAATAAAAAAAGAATAGTAAAAGTAGGTGGTTTCTATGATAGCTGACGCTGACAGCAGTCCTAACACCAATCATCACATGAACCTTCGCTTTCCGACGACTGCTCACGACTTCTGTGAAGAAGAAGGAAAAAGCTTCCGTCACGCAGCTAATCTTGATTTAATGGTTAGGCATGATGACATCAATTATAAGACTTTGGGTGAGGAATAGCAAACATAGATATATGTATAAAGTTTAAGAAGACTATATTGAAATATTTTTGACATATGATTTGGGTGCAATATGAGGAAATAATTGGATAAAATACAAAAATTAATACATCTTTTATTATTATTTTTTTATTTTAGTAAATTTATAATTGAATTAAACATGAAACAAGATAATAGTAGTGGTGTAAACGAACTGAACACGAGCGAGCCCAGGCTGAGCTTGTGTTTGGCTCGTTTGTATTTCGAGTTCAAAAAGTGTGTTTGTGTTCGTCTTGTTTGCTTAGTGAGCCGAACGCGAGCTGTTCACGAACAAAAGGGTCGTTTTAACAACCCTAATCACATGGTCATAAGATGTTAAGGGTTGGAGTACAAGATTCATAATTTATTGTTTATACTAAAACATCATTTGAATCTAATTAATATTTTTTATTTTATCTCCTTAATTAATACTCTTAAATGTTTATAAATCTTTGTAGCCTTGTAGGCAATTAATTTTTTTCAAAATGCTACTTGTATATATAATATATATATTGATGAGTAGTATTTCGAGCCAAAAAAAAGCGGATCACGATCGGCGTGTTAACTTGGCGAATAAGCCAAACACAAGTTTCTTAACGAGCCGAACACGAGTTGTTCGCGAACAACGAGCCGTTTTGATAGCCTTAGACAATAGTGATTTGATTAGAGTCCAAATAAACTCAAATCAAGTGTTTGAAACCTTGTTGAATGTTTTGGAACATTATTGAAGTGTCGAATGATCTCGAAATCTTTTGTACTTACATTCAAACTAAGGGTTCATTCGAGACAATATTTTGGCTGCTATGCTTTTCGTACCATAACAACAGTTTTGTTTGGGAACTGTTTTCTTGCTGCTTTCTAGAAATTCCTGTAATTGAAATATATATATTTTTTCAACCTAATCGATAAAGTGTGGTGACTGCAATAAATTTGTAATAGTCATCGCAATTTTTTGAACAACACATATTTTGCAACAACTTCTTCAAATTGTTATTGCTATCTCAAATTGACCATTTGTGTCACGATTGGAGAACTTCGCATCCCTAAAATCACTTCATTTTAAGTTTTAGCTAGATTTATTATACTACAACTCATAAATTATGAATTGATCATTATTCTCCATATGACAAGTACCATGACTCAAAATTAGAGAGGCCTTGAAAATCTAAAAAAGAACTTCAAAGCTCATTTGACAGCCAATGCCGACAACCACCACTATCAATCATCATTGACTGATTGTAGCTGCTTACAAGCACAATTGAAACTGCTTACAAGCTCAACTTAGAAGTGGAAGAAGAGCTCTATATGTATACTTGGACTTCAAGTATAAATACAAAAAAATTAAATTTTCAATTTTTCTAGATAAGAGAGGATCAAAATATGCCATATCACAAAGGAATAACTTTTATAATGTTTTTTTTAAAGTTGTTTTCTTTTATTGACTATAGTGATTCTATATAATGGATGATGGATGATAGTTCCTTGATGTTTTGCCAGTCAACTCATGTATTATTCTTTTGTGATGTTAGTATCTCCCACAAATTTTTCGTTAAGTGACATTTCATCAGTAAATTCTAGAAAAATATCAGAACTTTGAATATCTCCTCGATCTAAATTTGATACAATTCAATCAAAATTTTCTCTTGTCATTTCTCACTTTCACAAGAATATTTCGACAATTTTTCTGATAACTTTTTCTTAATGACGGATCGTAATCTTGATTTCAATTAGTGATGTGCATCTTTTAATATTTTTTGATACAAGAGTAATTTATTATGTTGCCTAATCCATTTAGTTATATAAATGTGTTCAGCTTAAGCTTTACATGATAATGGCTCTCATTATTCCTTTGTAGGACTAGTGAGAGCTTAATCAAAGAGATATTCTTTGAAGTCAATTAAATTCTGTTGATTTTGAAAATTCTATTGAAGTTGACCTCTTTCTTATATGGACCCTCCCCCAACTTTCGAGAAGTGGCACCTCAAAAGGTTTTGACATTAATGACCCCCGAGCGAAAAACACCTATTATAGACCTTCATGATCCCATAATTCTTACATATTTACATATCTCACGCCTAAACTTTTTATAATGTGTGTGTGAGTGCTATTACCCATAATATTAACAACGGAAATTTACATACCTAGCGCACAATTTTTATGTATTTACATAACTCAAACATAAACTTCCATATTTACATGCATAATACTTGGTTTTAAACTAATATACAAAAATGTGTATTTCACTTTTACGAAGTGACAATAGTGATATTTTTGATATGATATTAATGATTTGTGCGCTTTGTGTGTATATATAAAAGCTTAGTTTTGAAATATCTAAATACATAAGAATTGTGTGCTTTTTTCTCTCTATTATATGTATGTAGTAAACTTTGATATTATTATTTATTGATAAGGTTTGTATCACTATTCAGGACTATGGCTTATCAATCATGCTCTACAGATCAACATACCTTGTTGACATAGTAAGGGAGAGGATCGGACGTGTGCTGAAGCTGGACTCCATACATGAAGGTCAGGCGTGGCTTGGTACTGATCTCCTCATCTTTAACTCTTGGCACTGGTGGACTCACACTGGAAACAGCCAACCGTAAGCCAACTGCATACTTCCCTTTCATCTACTGAGATCATATTTGTATGAGATTATGAAGAAGATATATAAATTAAATTACTTTTTTTTTTTCAATGCTGCTGTAGATGGGATTATGTTCAGTATAAGAACAATATATACAAGGACATGAACAGGTTGGATGCCTTCTATAAGGGGATGACAACATGGGGAGGATGGGTAGATTCCAATGTAAACCCAGAGAAGACCAAGGTTTTCTTCCTGGGCATCTCTCCCACGCATTACCAGTAAGTTACTCAGCTCAATTCATAAAAAACTTAAGCTTTTATATTATTAATGGGATTTAACCATGAATTTAACTTATATCTAGCCAAACATTAAAAAAAAAAAAAGACTAAATTCAACGCTCTGTTAAATCGACTGCTCGTATTCCCTCGTAAATCATGATTTATTAAATCCAATTGAGAGAAGGATTTATTAGGTCGTAGCCGACGAGCTATGCTGTTGCATATGTGATTTATCAGATTCAAATTTATCGGATTTGATAAATCCTACTTAACATACATAGAAGATGCACCCAAACATCGCCTTAAATATTTCTGATGATCATACTAGATTTGGTTAAGGGAAGCTACCGTTAAACTAAATTATAGTTAGTTATACTGCAAGCACTCGCAGTTTCTTGTACACCCCTTTATCTCAATAGCCATTTTTTATGAGATTGCATATGAACTGAGTTTAGCATAAAAATTTGATTTTTAGTTAAATATTCCAATGATTCATGAATCAGGGCAGGAGAATGGGGAGGATCAAATGCTAAAAGTTGTTACAGAGAGACAGAACCGATAGAGGGATCAAGATATCCAGGTGGTTCACTCCCAGCACTGAGCATTGTGAAGAAAGTGCTGAACGCAATGTCTGTGCCCGTTTATCTACTTGACATAACCCTTCTATCTCAACTAAGAAAGGATGCTCATCCTTCTACATACAGTGGAGAGCACTCGGGAGTGGATTGCAGCCATTGGTGCCTCCCTGGTCTACCTGATACATGGAATCAGATTCTATATGCAGTTCTTCTCAATAAAGGAGAGACGAGTTCAGCGTTTTCTGCTTCCAATAAACTTTCTGCATTCTGGATTCATTAAGAACTGTAGATTGGTAGGCACGATATGAAGGAATACTACCTCAGCTTTTGTTTTGGGTTTTGAGAAAATGATGATACAGTTTGAAATGTTGAATGATAGGTTTATATTTGATAAGTTTGCAAGAATTGTAACGTTGTAATTTGCATTGCTCATTGAACATTTTTATTGGTTCTACCATTTAATATTCCTTCTAAGATATCAGGGCTATATATACAGTATATATGCAGTTCTAATTTCTTAATTCAACTACAATTTATGTTAAATTCAATCCTTGTTCATAGAATTCTTTCAATATGTGTGTGTAGAGTTCATCTTCCTTGTTTTGTTCTACTAAGTTTATTGCTATTTCAGTAAGTCTTCATTTCATTAGTTCCTTCAACATGTGAACTCTCTTTTCTTCTTCTTTAATACTACTTGTTATTGACAGCATTTTACTCTTGTATTTGACCATTGAGGTGTTCTTTTTACAATTGGAATAAAGCCAATAACTAAATTAATTTCTATTCCTCATGTTTATGGTGATAAATTCATTTAAAAGAAATATTTGAATTTGTATCTTCTTAGTTTTTATTTAGTTTGTTTTAGGGTCAAAAGTGCAGAGATGTATGTGGTATCCGATCTCCACCGTCGATCAAAACAATCAAATTTTTTTTTTTTAAGTTGGAAGTGGGGCCCAATGAAATACTTCTTTGCGGTGATCGACGATGGAGATCAGACACCGCATGCATCTCTGAATACGATGTGTGAGCTGTCACATCAAAAAAAGGTGTGTCTTATAGTTTTCCTAATCGTGTCGGTTTGATTAGCTATCCATAGTAATAATATAGCTGCAACATAACCCACAGTTACACTTTATCTAGTGTCAACTTTACCATACAGTAACCACCTCAAATCATCTTAGCCGTCCATGCTGATTTCCGATAACTTTAGCTTTCTATAATTACCTTTACTGTTACTGCACTCTATGTGTTAACTCATCACCTTCCTCTCTGCTTCTCTGCTCCTCAGTGTATTGTCTCGGTGCTAACCATTATTGCAGGGCATCAAGCTTCTATTATGGAATCAGAGCTCCAGAATCATTGCAATGGAAGAATCGACCACTTTTCAGCTCTAAGAAGCTGCAGCGTCCCTCTCTTTCACAAGTGTGACGATCTCCCAATCCCTAAAATTCCTTATGATCAATATCAAAATCAAGTTCCGGCAAGGGTACCGGCGAAGATAGAGGGGAGCCCGGGCGGGAGCTTCGCGAACAGGTGAAGGGGGAGGAGCTCGAGGAGATGAATCGCGGAGCAGACGCAATAAGGAGATAAGATGTGGGAGAGGGAGGGAGGATAAGCCAGCCGCTTGCTTGCCTGGGAAAAAAAACAGGGATAGGAATAGTATTTTTATTTTTTTATGATTAAGCTCCGTTTGGGGCCTCCTATTTTGCGCGGCTACCCGGCGCAGCCCCATCGCAGGCCGCAGATCTACCCCGCGGCCTGCGTTTTCGATCGGCTTTTTCCTCTTTTACCCCCTGCTCTCCAGTCTCTCGCGATCGAGCAAAATGGTTTCTGTGGTGAATGAGAGGGAAAGTGAGCGAGGCGGAGGCGAGATGAGGTGAGGAAGAAGAAAAATAAGAACGAAGAGGAATACTCTCCTTCTAGGGACGAGCCGAACAAGACAACGTCTGTGATCGCAGAACAGAGGAGAGTAGGTATTAGCATTCGGCGTGGACAACAGAGCTTGCGATTGATCCAAAATAGAGGGAGGAATTATTGCCTGCGCGGTGTCCGATCCTGGTCGTACATCACTGTGATCTACAGTCAGGATTATTTATGTTTTGTTTTTTTAAAAAAAAATTTAAATGGGGCCCACCGTTCGGGACTGTAGATCAGGTGATTTATGGTCCGGATCGGACACCGCACGCAAGCTGCGTGCGGTGTCTGATCCGTATGAAATAATTTTTCGAATAGAGGAGACTAGGTGTTAGCGTTCGGCGTTGACAACAGAGCTTGCGATTGATCCAAATGCTTCGAGAAGTGCTGAGAAGAAGGGCAAACTGCCTACGTCGGGGACTCCTAACGTGAGCTCCGTTCGGATTGAAATATTCGATTGTGTTACAAAAATATTTCATCTGCGTTATTTGTAAAAATGATATGTTATTCGAGTATTACATGATGTTATTCAATTATTTTGCAGTGTTATTGAAATATTCCATCGCGTTACTTGATTTGGGAATATGTTATTCGGCATATTTCCCGTGTTATTTCAATTTACACTATGTTATTAGAATAACAAAACTCCAAATCATATAATGCGAGAGATAATTCCAATAATACTTCAGCCATAAATCAAGTAAAGCGATGAAATATTCCAATAACACCCCAAAATAATCCAATAAAATCATATAATACTTGAATAACACATCATTTTTACAAATAACGCAGATATAATATTCCCATATAACAACCAAATATTCCAATATGAATGTAGCTCTACGTTAGGAGTCCTGATGTAAAATTCTCCCTAGTAAGCGAAGGGTGAACTCAGGGAAAAATAAAGTAAATCATTTTATAGTATTTAAGTTGTTTTACTTAGAATGTAATGTTAATATTATTTAATTAATAGTTATGTATATATTTTATGATATGATATAGAAATATGAGAGAAATAATTAATCATTTAATTTACTATATTTAAAATAATTAATCATTAGTTTTACTATATTTAATTAATCTCCTTACACTAGAGAAATATATTTTAAAATATGTAGCTTACACAAATTACATAAAAAATATGCATTTTTTTATTTTAGAGAACATTATAGGTATTATTATAATTAGAAAGAAATTATATAAAACTATGCATTATTAATTTTTCATTTTGCTTGTAATTTTATTATTATTTTTTCTTTAGCACTTTCGTTACTTACTATTAAGTGAGTTGTGTATTTGAACTTTTGTTCTGTTTTGAAATGAATTTCTGCTTCGAAAGTATCAAATATGTAGCTCACAGTTATGCTTTAAACAGCTACACTAAGCAGGAGCAGAATGATCATTTTTTTAGAAACAACTGTCTCACAGCTGCTTTCACACAGCTGCAACAAATAAGCAGTCAGTCTTCTCACAACAGCTTCCCCACAGCAGCTTCATGAAATAACGCAACTATAACTGAGAAGCTGCAGCTGCCCCAAATAGAGCTTAAATCCCTTTTAATATTAATACCCCTCGATTTGCATCTTTTTCTCTCGAACACGACATTGTGGTGAAATGAATGCCCTTCCTGGGTAAAATCGATGTTTCAGTCGTGTTGGCGAGGTCCATTTCTTTATCTAGGGTCATTCGGATCACTTTTTCGGCGATCAAGCACAAAACGATAATTCACACATTTTTAGCCCTCCCGTGAAGCCGTAGCAAAATGGACGTGCTTCCTATGTGAAATTGACGTCTCGGGTGTGGTCCGTTTCACAATCCAGGGTTGTTCGGACAACTTCGCATCATAGGGCCAATTCAAGCCAATTTCGTGCGCAACGCAACACATAATATTTGTTGATCCTATAGGAGTTATTCGACATGTAAAATGCTGACCGACCTTTGTCTAAGCGAAAGTCAAAAACCTAGCAAAATGAGTTTGACTGTGTCTTTCAACACGCGCCGAAAGGTCTTGGGTGGATGTCTAAACTACCAGATGTTATGGACAGACCGTAAGCTATCTCGAGTCATGCAGGTGAACACCTTACACTAGTGACATAAAAAATTGATGCCAACGGTCACATTAGCCTAGTGATTGAGAGTTTTGTTTTTCAACCAAAAGGTCCTATCAAGATCTTGTTTATGTGGGCAAGATCTGGTTGAGTGTATTTGTGTGCGTGAGTGTGCGTGAAAAAAAAAAAAATCCTTTAAAAGTGAAGTTGGCTGTTAAGCTATTTTTTTAGAGTGGTTTCACAAAAAAATTTCAACATAATCAATTTTAATCCATTTAATTATATCATAATAAATATTATTCAGCAAATACACTAATCCAACACTCACACAGAGAGAAGGAAGAGGTAAAGGGGTTGGTCCAATGACTTAACTCCCTATGGTATGGTTGGCCAAACAAGATGGGGAAATAATTTTTTTTCTTTTAATTAGTGTTAATACATATTTTTTAAAAAAATAGTTAGTTATTTTCCCATAGTATGAAAATTTCAAATTTTAAAGTTTAAAAATCTAGAATTTTAAATTTTAATACATATCATTAAAAACTCACACTTAATCATACATAGTCTTACATGATGATTTTTATAAATATAAATGCCACATAAAAATGATAAATTTTAAGTTATTACCTTTATCCAGTTTTGGCTCCTTGTGATTGGCCCACTTTTATTGCATTCACACCTTGTGCCACATTAGGCGTGGGTAGTCCTTTTGTACAAAGAGATGATTAATTCATGGAATCTTTAGGAATATCCTCAAGGGGTTTGTGTCCATATTTAGTAGTGTAGATAGTTGTTGAGGCTTGTTTAAAATTTAGGTTGACATGTTTAACTTGGGCTGGCTTTATTAAACTTCTAGGGATCTTAGGTTCAAGTTTGTTGAATGTTTAATAGATGATAAGGATCAATAGGTCTGAGGTGTGATTAAATATATTTCATGATCAACCTTGTTTAACCATAATCAAATGGACTCGACCATATTCACCAAAGCTATAGGATAGGTCCTTTGGATAGCTAAGGTGACTTAGGAATATGAGCGTCTTTAATTGATCCATAGGCAGGGTCAATTATATCGTGAGTCATAGATGTTGATATTGGTTTAAAGTATTAAGCTTGTGTTTGATCAAAACCATATTAGCCCAATGTCAATTTAAGGGATTAAATAACCTTGGGTAGAACCAAAAGAACATGTTGTCTCATAAAGCATTAGTTTATTTCTAAAACAAACTAAGGATATTCTAATGGTAAATTGATTCATCATTGTATCTTTGGCTTAATTTAAAATAAGATTATAGGGCTGTGAATTAAGACAAAGGTAGCTTAGATTATAGTTCTATCCAAGCTAAAGAGACATGATAGTTTATCTTAGGATAACCAATGTTAGGTCACCTACTCGCTAAAACAAAAACAAAGGAATTTCCTACAAGGCATTGGAGAAATTGAGATCTGAATTTAGATTAATCTAAGCTAGACTTAGTTTATAGTAATTTAAGGACTTATACTCTTTTAGATGTCTAAGGGTTTTATTGTTCTCTAATAAATCAACTAGGTCTAACTTTATCAAAGCTGAAGTTAGCTCATTTAAATAAGTCTTGAGTCTTCAAGACCAATAAAAGTTCTAATGACAAATTAATGAAAAAGTTGGCTATAACTTAAATTTATTAAGGCTAAAAACTTGTCCTAAGGTTAAATCATCTCAGGGCTAGGTCATCTTGATAAAAAATTTCTAATGTATCCAAATGGTTTATCCTTTAACTAACTAAACTTAAAAGCTAAATTGGTGGAAGTATAGGTGTACACTAAGAGAGATTACAAGTCATAATTAAGATAATCTATACCATCTAAAATAACCAAAAGCTATTTGTAAGTGTAAAAAAGAAAAAAAAAATCCAATGAGACCTAAATAAACACTAAGTAGAGTATAATAAGTCACTTGTACGCTCAAGTTTCATTAGGAAATCTAAGTGAGATTTTGATCCATCAAGATGATTCACTAACCCAAAGAAGGATAAAATTAACCCAATGGAGCTTAGGATAGGTGACAATATACTAGATAGAATCTAAGGGTGATTTGAATCCTCCTAAATTTATATTATAAGAGAATGGGCAATGCCAATATGATTAAATGTAATGGGGCCCATTTGATCTGTTATTCTAAGGATCTAAGCCGTAAGGTAGAAACACAAAGTTTAGGTCTAACTAGCCGCGCTTGGTGGAAAAATTATTGCGTGGACATAAATTTTGTATGCAGTGTCTGATATGGGAAAAAATATTACATCAGTACTGCCCACGTAGAGTAACGTGCATAACCAATGAAATCACGTCACAACACCTCGCGTGACAGGATGTTATGGACAGACCGGTAGCTTTCTCGAGTCATGCAGGTGAACACCTTACACTAGTGACATAAAAAATTGATGCCAACGGTCACATTAGCCTAGTGATTGAGAGTTTTGTTTTTCAACCAAAAGGTCCTATCAAGATCTTGTTTATGTGGGTTGAGTGTATTTGTGTGCGTGAAAAAAAAAAAAATCCTTTAAAAGTGAAGTTGGCTGTTAAGCTATTTTTTTAGAGTGGTTTCACAAAAAAATTTCAACATAATCAATTTTAATCCATTTAATTATATCATAATAAATATTATTCAGCAAATACACTAATCCAACACTCACACAGAGAGAAGGAAGAGGTAAAGGGGTTGGTCCAATGACTTAACTCCCTATGGTATGGTTGGCCAAACAAGATGGGGAAATAATTTTTTTTCTTTTAATTAGTGTTAATACATATTTTTTAAAAAAATAGTTAGTTATTTTCCCATAGTATGAAAATTTCAAATTTTAAAGTTTAAAAATCTAGAATTTTAAATTTTAATACATATCATTAAAAACTCACACTTAATCATACATAGTCTTACATGATGATTTTTATAAATATAAATGCCACATAAAAATGATAAATTTTAAGTTATTACCTTTATCCAGTTTTGGCTCCTTGTGATTGGCCCACTTTTATTGCATTCACACCTTGTGCCACATTAGGCGTGGGTAGTCCTTTTGTACAAAGAGATGATTAATTCATGGAATCTTTAGGAATATCCTCAAGGGGTTTGTGTCCATATTTAGTAGTGTAGATAGTTGTTGAGGCTTGTTTAAAATTTAGGTTGACATGTTTAACTTGGGCTGGCTTTATTAAACTTCTAGGGATCTTAGGTTCAAGTTTGTTGAATGTTTAATAGATGATAAGGATCAATAGGTCTGAGGTGTGATTAAATATATTTCATGATCAACCTTGTTTAACCATAATCAAATGGACTCGACCATATTCACCAAAGCTATAGGATAGGTCCTTTGGATAGCTAAGGTGACTTAGGAATATGAGCGTCTTTAATTGATCCATAGGCAGGGTCAATTATATCGTGAGTCATAGATGTTGATATTGGTTTAAAGTATTAAGCTTGTGTTTGATCAAAACCATATTAGCCCAATGTCAATTTAAGGGATTAAATAACCTTGGGTAGAACCAAAAGAACATGTTGTCTCATAAAGCATTAGTTTATTTCTAAAACAAACTAAGGATATTCTAATGGTAAATTGATTCATCATTGTATCTTTGGCTTAATTTAAAATAAGATTATAGGGCTGTGAATTAAGACAAAGGTAGCTTAGATTATAGTTCTATCCAAGCTAAAGAGACATGATAGTTTATCTTAGGATAACCAATGTTAGGTCACCTACTCGCTAAAACAAAAACAAAGGAATTTCCTACAAGGCATTGGAGAAATTGAGATCTGAATTTAGATTAATCTAAGCTAGACTTAGTTTATAGTAATTTAAGGACTTATACTCTTTTAGATGTCTAAGGGTTTTATTGTTCTCTAATAAATCAACTAGGTCTAACTTTATCAAAGCTGAAGTTAGCTCATTTAAATAAGTCTTGAGTCTTCAAGACCAATAAAAGTTCTAATGACAAATTAATGAAAAAGTTGGCTATAACTTAAATTTATTAAGGCTAAAAACTTGTCCTAAGGTTAAATCATCTCAGGGCTAGGTCATCTTGATAAAAAATTTCTAATGTATCCAAATGGTTTATCCTTTAACTAACTAAACTTAAAAGCTAAATTGGTGGAAGTATAGGTGTACACTAAGAGAGATTACAAGTCATAATTAAGATAATCTATACCATCTAAAATAACCAAAAGCTATTTGTAAGTGTAAAAAAGAAAAAAAAAATCCAATGAGACCTAAATAAACACTAAGTAGAGTATAATAAGTCACTTGTACGCTCAAGTTTCATTAGGAAATCTAAGTGAGATTTTGATCCATCAAGATGATTCACTAACCCAAAGAAGGATAAAATTAACCCAATGGAGCTTAGGATAGGTGACAATATACTAGATAGAATCTAAGGGTGATTTGAATCCTCCTAAATTTATATTATAAGAGAATGGGCAATGCCAATATGATTAAATGTAATGGGGCCCATTTGATCTGTTATTCTAAGGATCTAAGCCGTAAGGTAGAAACACAAAGTTTAGGTCTAACTAGCCGCGCTTGGTGGAAAAATTATTGCGTGGACATAAATTTTGTATGCAGTGTCTGATATGGGAAAAAATATTACATCAGTACTGCCCACGTAGAGTAACGTGCATAACCAATGAAATCACGTCACAACACCTCGCGTGACAGAGAAAAAAAAAGGCGCAGTAACACGGGGAATATTCCCCCCCATGTTATTCATGTGTTATTGTGTCCTGGGAATATTCTTAGTGTTATAATAACACAATAACACATGAAAAACACATAATAACACATGAATAACACGGGAGAGAATATTCTCCCATGTTACTGCGCCGTTTTTTTTTTTCTATCGGGAATATTCCCCGTGTTATTCTAATATTATTGTGTGTTATTCATGTGTTATTCATGTGTTATTGTGTCCTAAGAATATTCTTGGTGTTATAATAACACAATAATACATCAATAACACATGAATAACACACAATAATATATGAATAACACAGGGGAGAATACTCCCCGTGTTACTGCGCCGTTTTTTTTCCTGTCGCGCGGGATGTCGTGACGTGATTTCATTGGCTACGCACGTTACTTCTAGATGCGTAGTACTGATGTAATATTTTTTCCTGATCTGAACAGTCAAAAATTTAGAATGAGCCCCACTTTAATAATACACAAATTTAAGTGTCATAATAAACACTCCGGGTGAGATGAGCTTACATGCCTCGCACCTTGTCTGCCACCGTGCGACCTACAGGCTAGAGCCCCATTCGCACTTCCTATCCTCTTATCTTAGATTCCCAACATCTCATCTCCTATCTCTACACTGCCGCTTCATCGTTCTCCATGGCGTCGCACCTGGGATAGATTTCTTATTGGAATTCGAACCAGCAAGTGATATCCACAGTTTGAGCTCCACCTTCCTCATGGCCGGCCTCTTAGCGGCCTCCTCATCTAACGCCCTTCTACGTTGCAGAGCACCAACGCTCATGTCCCCAACACCTGCCTTTCCGGCATCTCTTCCAGGTAAGATTGTATCAGCTCAACATGCCTCCAAGAAACCTAGTTCTTCTTCTTTTTCTGAAATGATCAAACTTAACTGTTTTGAAAACCCTAATCAATTTCAAGTGTTTTTTTTTTTGCTTGCGCAGGTCGAATTCCATGTTGGAGGATCTCCCAGATTGGAGCAAGGAGTGGTTCGAGAAGAGGATTCCGCCGGCTCCAGGTTTCTTGTGTCGCCGTGCCTGAAGTGAGCTCCACTACAGAGGTACCGCTCATTTCCAGTTGGTGCTCATGTATTTCACGAAACCTAGGTTTCTTCCTGGAGATTCATTAATGTGTGGGCTGGAACCCTAATATAGGTCAGAAAAATAGCAGCCAAGGAAGTCCAACGTCCGGTTTACCCCTTTGCTGCCATTGTTGGCCAGGACGAGATGAAACTATGCCTCCTTCTTAACGTCATCGACCCGAAGATCGGTGGTGTCATGATAATGGGAGATCGAGGTACCGGCAAGTCAACCACGGTCCGTTCACTGGTAGACCTGCTGCCGGAGATCAAGGTGGTCATTGGGGATCCGTTCAACTCTGATCCAGACGATCCAGAGTGCATGGGGATTGAGGTTAGGGAGCGTGTCACCCGGGGAGAGGAGCCTCCTGCAACAACCGCTAAGATCACCATGGTAGATCTCCCACTTGGAGCCACTGAGGACCGAGTTTGTGGAACCATTGATATCGAGAAGGCTCTCACTGAGGGTGTCAAGGCATTCGAACCTGGACTCTTGGCCAAAGCGAATAGGGGCATTCTCTATGTTGATGAGGTCAATCTTTTAGATGATCACTTGGTGGATGTTCTTCTGGACTCTGCTGCTTCTGGTTGGAACACAGTGGAGAGAGAGGGGATCTCCATTTCTCATCCTGCGCGCTTCATTCTCATCGGTTCGGGAAACCCTGAAGAAGGAGAGCTAAGGCCACAGCTTCTTGATAGGTTTGGAATGCATGCTCAGGTTGGCACAGTGAGGGATGCAGAGTTGAGGGTGAAGATTGTGGAGGAGAGGGCTAGGTTTGACATGGACCCCAAGGGGTTCAGGGAATCCTATAGAACAGAACAGGAGAAGCTGCAGCAGCAGATTACTTCAGCTAGGAATAATTTGTCTTCAGTTCAGATTGATCATGATCTCCGGGTTAAGATATCCAAGGTGTGTGCAGAGCTAAATGTGGATGGTCTCAGAGGAGATATTGTAACAAATAGAGCTGCAAAAGCATTGGCAGCCTTGAAGGGGAGAGACAAAGTGACAGCAGATGATGTGGCTACTGTCATACCAAATTGCTTGAGGCACCGGCTCCGGAAGGATCCTTTGGAGTCTATAGACTCTGGACTACTTGTCATTGAAAAGTTTTATGAGGTGTTTAATTAAGCTATCTCTTAGAGGTAAGATTGCAGTCCTTAGTAGGCATCTCAGCTTAAACCATTCTTCTCAGATGATGATATTTTGTTTTTGGCATTGTTCTCATCTCTGTTTTCTTTTATTCTACCTTGTTTTAGTTCACTTTTTAGAAGATTGTTATAATATCTAAACCTATTAATGTTCCCCAACAGTCTGAAGTTCTAAGAAAAATATGCACAAATCAAGGATGATTAGTGTTAAGGAAATGCCTTTTTGAAGTCAACTTCCTTCTGTTCTGGTTTAATTGTTTGGATGCATAGTGGTAGGATAGATTGTGTTGATGCAATATGAGTCATGGTGAGTGAATAATATAATGGAGAGCTGATCCCATAATTTGTTTTAGGAAATTGTACTTTCAGAGAAGGTAGCAATATAAGTTCTCGATGAATGTCTTCCAATTTGCTTTAGAATGCATAGACTTGAAGGATTGATGTGACTAGTGGCAGTCAGGAGTGTAGTATATTTATCTTGCCCAAAGAGAGAAAAAAAAGAACATAGATTAAGCATGATTTTATTATAAAAGAAAAATTATATAAGATAAATGAGGACACACTCAATCAAAGTTATATGAGCACTTGTAGTAATTGGTTGCCTTATATAATATGCAATTGAGGATGTAATTAAAACTATTACTATTAATATTATTATTGTTTTAAAATCTAATAAATAGCAATATAGACTAAAAACGAGGAATATGGTTGAGATTTAAGATGATGAGAAATTAGAGAATGTGGATATGGTTGAGAATAAAATGATGGAGAAAACAGAATGTTTTGTCGATTATTCCAATAAAGGCTCATTGAATGATAAAAGTGATGACGCCGTTAAAATTTAAAATTATAACCTTAGTAACACATTACGTCTTTTTTTTCATGGGCTAATACAAGTAGGGCTGTCAAAACGGCTTGTCGTTCGCGAACAGCTCGTGTTCGGCTCGTTAAGAAGCTCGTGTTCGGCTCGTTCGCTAAGTTAACGAGTCGATCACAAACAACACGAACAAATATTTGTTCATTCGTGTTCGACTCGAAATACTACCAATTATATATACATATATATATATATATATATATATATACATATATATACATACAT